AGGTACCAGAAAGAAAAGAAAAAGAAAAAAGAGACAGGCCAGGTGCAATGGCTCACACCTATAATCCCAGCACTTTGGGAAACTGAGGCAGGAGAATTGCTCAAACCCAGGAGTTCAAGACCAGCCTGGGCAGTATAGTAAGACCCCATCTCTACAAAAACTTTTTAAGAAAGAAAGAAAACAAAAGACACCAAAGCTAATGATTTCTCCAGGAACACATACAAAGGAAATGTCTGGTGAGGTCACAGCAAGAAGGCAGCAGTCTGCAAGTCAGGAAGAGAGCCCTTACCAGAAACTGAATCCCTGTCTCTAGAATGTGAGAAATAAATGTCTATTGTTTTAAGCTCCCTATCTGCAGTACCTTGTCAGGGCAGCCCAAGCTAAGACAGGGAGATCAGTGCTTAGGAGTGGGAACAGGTGAGTTGGGCAGGGCAGGCTGCTTTGTCTGCAGGACCTATCTCAGTTCATTTTGGGTTTCCGGGGCTGCTTCTGCAGCTGTTGTGATTGTGAAGCAAGCAGGCTCTCGGGAATCTGGCCTCACTGCCAGGCCTCACAGCGGGAGTCCAGGGACAGGATGGCCACTCTGTCTAGAGCATCAGTAGCAACTGGTGGACAAGGTCGATGAGAGACCGAGGTAACAAGTGATGGGTAAGTCTGAAACTACTGAAGTCAGTGTGGATCTACTGAACAGATTTGACAGGGAGACAATGTGGTCCCAGCCACGGAGAGGCCAACCTGGGCTGCTCTGTGGTTCCCAAGACCCTGGCCTGAGGGTGCATCAGCCCCAAACCGATCCAGGGTTTTTCTAGAATCCAAGGCCCCCTTGAAGCCCCTGAAAGCAAGCCTTGCTTTCCTAAGCTTTCAAAGCTCAAGGAGCAAAGGGCAGACCTGAGCCATCCAGCAATGCTCTCAGCATGGGCCCGCTTAGCCTGCTCCCTCCTCAGCCAGTTTGCCCCAGAAACTAAAAATAAAATTGACAACAGAGGAGCATTAAACAGCAAAATCTAGCTGAGGGAGGAGCTGAGGCTTTGAGGACAACTGGCACACACAGTGGTCACCTCTGGTGGTCCCGTCCTCCCTGGGTGTTGGGAGATTATGGATGGATATTTACCGGAGCATCTGCTCTGCCAGGAGATAACTCAGCTTTCCTCCAAGGCTCTGTGGTTTTCTCTTTTTTGTTTGTTTGTTTACTATTTCTTCTTCCTCTGCTAAATGAGAACCATCTCCCTCTATCTCCAGTTCAAACTCCCCAAAGCGAGAATCTAATTTGGTCTTCAGACCCTCTTTGAGGGCTGCTTTCATATAGGGCCGTTGGATGGTCCTGCCAGCCTGCCAGCAGGCTGCCCTGGCTCCCTGGTAGTGACCTGTGGGCAGGGCCCTTTTCCTGCAAGGGGGTGGTGAGAATCGAGGCACACTGAAGCAAGCCTGCCCTGCCTGTATTGGGCAGAATGCGCTCAGCTGCTTCCAACAGAATAGCTACATGCAAGGCATCTCTGCTGCTGGGAGCTCATTTTCCATGGCAAGAAACCTGCAGGTGGTTGGTCCTAGAACTCAGTGGCTCTGTGACCCCATTGAAGACATCTTGCCATCTGCCAAGTGGCTGGACGGTAGTTGCAACAGTTCAATGAATACATCAAATATAAAGATTTTCTTGACACTCCCCTACCCCCACCCTCAGGAGGTGTAATGATGTCTCTTTGACAAAAGAGAGCCACAGTCCCACCTCTAGCTACAAGAGAAGCTGGTGGAGTAAGTAGCCGGTGTATACAATGAGAGTGGATTCTAATGACAAGGGAGATGGTGGGACATTGTGTAGGCAAATGTGTGTCCTACAAAGTCAACAGTTAACTGTAGCATGGTATTGCAAGCACTGTGGTAATTTGCCAAGACACTGATATGGTTTGGCTGTGTCCCCACCCAAATCTCACCTTAAAGTGTAATAATCTCCACATGTCAAAGGTGGGGCCAGGTGGAGATAATTAAATCATAGGGGCGGTTCCCCCATACTGTTCTCATGGTAGTGAATAAGTCTCACGAGATCTGATGGTTTTATTAAGGGGAGCTACCCTGCGCATGCTCTCTTGCCTGCCACCATGTAAGACATGAGTTTGCTTCTCATTTACCTTCGGCTATGATCGTGAGGGCCCTCCAGCCTTGTGGAACTGTGAGTCCATTTAAGCTTTTACCTTTATAAATTACGCAGTCTCGGCTATGTTTTTATTAGCAGCATGAAAACACACAGCGTGATGATAAGACACTATTTGGGATAAGTCACATAACCTCTTTGAGGCTCAGATTCCTAAAATGAAAAATGAGAATGATAGTACCTATATCATAGAGGTGTTGTATAGTTTAATACAAAATAATGTATAAGAAAGTCTCTATTTCAGTACTTGATGGGTAATGAACACACCTTGGCTCCTTCCTCCTCACCACCCACAGGGTAAATGCACGATAAATACTTGCTAACCAAATAAACATTGCTTATCTGGAACATCATCCTCTTGAATTTTGTTGGCTATTTGTAAAAAGAAGGAAAATCAAGTCTACAGGCAAAGTAAAAGTAAACATGAAAAATTCAAAGCCTGGCAGGCTGGGAATTAATTTAAAATGTAATCATGTTTCATTGTATTTCAAAGAAAGCTAAGTAACTACATTGAAGCCTCGAACACATTCTCCCTGGATCAACTAATTACCCATTGTTTCCTCCCTCAGGTAGGAACCTCAGAATAATTTGCCATTTCTTCCTGCAACTGGCTCAGCTATACTCTTGATTTTCGGTTTGGCTTTGATTTGGTTTTTTTTTTTTTCCTCCATTCGAAAGTCCCCGGGATAATCTGGATTTATTTCTCATCTGAAATAAAACACATTAGCTGGCAGTATTCCTGTGATACTCCCTTCCTTAGGAATGGTTCGAAACACTGCCATTAAAATCCATGGCTCTCACCTGCATCTTTGAGAGCGCGATCAGTGGATGCTTCTGCGGTGGAGTCGATGTAGTCACATTCAATTTCCAGACTCTTTATCAAATTAGCCCTGATTGTATCACCTCCCAGTTCCATTTGGGGATCCTTTCCCTGCCAATTATGCAAAAAGACATTTGGTTTCCTTCTTTCTCCTACAACTTGTCATCAGAGGCGCCTGTGACTCTACCCAAGATCCAAGAATTCTTCCTTTAATTCAGAATTCATCTAAGAGCCCACTTCCTCCAGAAAACTCACACCAGCAATGGTGTGAAGTCCTATCTGTCCCACAAAGCAAGACCATCCGAACACTTGGCCTTCAACAGTCTGAAAAACCAAGAGACAGCGATAAACCTTTTTATCTGGAATATAAACTCTTCCATGCTTGGTGTGATGCCCGAGTATAGTAATTCCACACATCTACCATAGCCATTACTAAAAATTCACGCCAGTCATAAATCTTCAATCTGTCACCCAGTGCTAAGCCCATACCCACCCTCAGTTCTGGAGTTTCCAATGGCTTATGGGACCTCCCCATACTCTGGGGCTTCTGGTTCCTCCAGAGTCAAGATGGTTAGGGAAGATAGATTCATGAAAATGGTATAACTGTTTTCTTTTCTTTCTTTCTTTCTTTCTTTTTTTTGAGACAAGATCTGACTCTTTCATTTAGGCTGGAGTATAGTGACTCATGGCTCACTGCAGCCTCAACCTCCTGAGCTCAAGCAATCCTTCTGCCTCAGCCTCCTGAGTAGCTGGGACTACAGGTGCATGCCACCATGCCCAGCTAATATTTTAATTTTTTTGTACAGCAGGGGTTTCATCATGTTTCCCAGGCTGGTCTTGAACTCCTGGGCACAAGCAATCCACCTACCTCAGCTCCCAAAGTGCTGGGATTACAGGCATCAGCTGCCATACCCAGCCACTTTTTTTTTCATTTAGAGACAGAGCCTTGTTTTGCCACTCCTCATCCCTCAGACTAGAGTGCAAGGGCATAATCATGGTTCACTATAGCCTTCAACTCTTGGCCTCAAGAGATCCTCCTGCCTTAGCCTCCCAAGTAGCTGGAACTACAGGCACATGCCACCGTGCCCACTGATTTTTTTTTTTTTTTAATTTTTTGTAGAGTCAGCGTCTAACTGTTTCCCTGGCTGGTTTTGAACTCCTGGCCTCAAGTCATCCTCCCACCCTGGACTCCCAAAGTGCTAGGATTATAGGCATGAGCCACTGCATCTGACCAGTATAACTTTTTTAACTGAGTCCATGCAGATGCCATCTTCTCTCAGTTATCCATGTGTGCTCAATGGCAAGTGTCCAAATATTGGTTCTCTCACGGAGCTTTTGCACAAGTCCTTCGGATGGTCCCAAAGTTCCCTGGCTGAGTGATGTGCTCTGACTTCTAATCTTTTCTACAAGTCCCCACACCTGGTGATACACACTACCCTTTTTCTTGCTGGAGTTCCTCCAGCAAGAGGCCAGTCTTCTTGGGTAGGATACCAGCAAAACAACTCAAGCCCAGCCACCTTTCCTGGTCTCTGCTTGCCCCTTGGGACACTCACACAACTCTGATTGTTCCAGCAAGCCTTTCATTCCAAAATGATCCAGGCAAGAAGCAAAGAACAGTCTCTATTTGTTTGTCTACTCCCAGGCTTTCTGAAGAAACAGATCTAGCTTTCTCAAGAACTCTTTGACCGAGTTCTGCAACAACGTGAGAGCCTGTGTGGACCCCATGAGTTTCTGCTTCTTAGCAGGTTTCTAGATCAGGACTGAGATGTCAGCCCTCCCTTCTTGCAAGCATCCTCAGTTGCTAAGTTTGTCTTGAAGCTCCACTTATGTGGCTTCAGAGGGGAGGAGAAGAGAGGCTCTCACCTTGAACTTGAGTGATTTTCTAATGCCTGGACTTCAGTTATTATAAGATGGGAGGGGACAGGATTATTGATCCAAGGACTAGTCCTGCCAGCTGGTAGGTGTCCTTCAAATATGAGGGTTTAGCACCTCTTATTCTCAGCTTTAGGGCTGTAGCCTCATTTTGGAGACAACATGACATGTCCCATTGGCATCCTGTTAAACAATGTTGTAATGCGTGTCCTTGTACGTCTATCTTTGAGAGTATGGCCAAAGGGTGAATTACTCATAGATGTTGCTAAATTGTTTTCCAGAAAGGTTGCAGCAGTTTGCACTTCAAAACACTGCAAGAGCGCATCCATTTCCCGACATCTTCCCCGACCCCAGCTAGACATTCCTCAACTGGAAACATGAGAGAGCTCTGATTGGAAAGACCAACTCACTCGGTCAAAAGGCCAGATGAACACACCATTGTAGACATTTGAAAGTGTCACATATCCAGCTCCTCTGGAGACAGGGTGGAGGAAGAAGGCGGGAGGATGGAAGAGAGAACAGAAGGAAAGGGAAAGGGAGGGAAGAGAAGAATTATTTTGAGGATCTATTGCCGGCCATTGTGCTTTATCTCAAATTGCCTCATGGGTGCTGGGCCCAGTGGCTCACACCTGTAATCCTAGCACTTTGGGAGGCTGAGGTGGGCAGATCACTTGAGGTCAGGAGTTCGAGACCAGCCTGGCCAACATGGTGAAACCCTGTCTTTACTAAAAATACAAAAGTTAGCTGGGCATGGTGGCAGGCACCTGTAATCCCAGCTGCTGGGGAGGCTGAGGCAGAAGAATTGCTTGAACCCGAGAGGGAGAGGCTGTAGTGAGCCAAGATGGCACCACTGCACTCCAGCCTGGGGAACAGAGCAAGACTCCATCTCAAAAAAAAAAAAAAGAAAGAAAAAGAAAATAATGCTTCATATTGCCTCATGGCCAGAATGAGACAGGGGCAGAGGGTGAGAGTTTGTGAAACTGCTGACTATGGTGAAACTGAGCCGCCTAATCTTACCTCCAGTGACGCTGCTTAACCACAGAGGTGCTGCTGACACACCAGCAAGCAGCAGAACATTGTCTCTACACAACACTCTCGTCCACCAGAGAAAGGCCCTCTCTCTTTTTTTTATTTTTGAGACAGAGTCTCTGTCACTGAGGCTGGAGTGCAGTGGCACGATCTTGGCTCACTGCAGCCTCCATGTCCTGGGTTCAAGCAATTCTTCTGCCTCAGCCTCCCAAGTAGCTGGGATTACAGGCGCCCACCACTAAGCCCGGCTAATTTTTGTATTTTTAGTAAAGATGGAGTTTCACCATGTTGGCAGGCCAGTCTTGAACTCCTGACCTCAGGTGATTCGCCCGCCTCAGACTCCCAAAGTGTTGGGATTACAGGCGTGAGCCACAGCACCCAGCTGAAAGACCCTCTTTGAACAGAATATGTGTCCAGAATTAGTTAACATGGGATCACTGACATCCCCCAGGCACCCGGGGCACCACCCTGACCCTATAACTGCTCATTCACAATGTCATGTGTCCTCATCAGCTGACTCCCCAGAATCCCTTCCTCTCCAAGCCAGCAGCAGCATATCTTCGAAGGAAAGTTGTGTCTCTCTATTCCAAGTCCTTCTATTTTTCTTTCTCCATTTTTTTCCCCTTTTAAAACTCAAGTCCCGCAAAAGGACTGTGAGAACCCAATGTATTTGAACTGCTCTAGATAGTCCGACTAAACACTATGAAATTCACTGTGTGTGCAACATTAAGAGCCATCGGACTTGGAGGACACTTTTTCTATCACTGCCTTTGTTAGCAAATGCTGGAACAAGAGTTGACAAGATCAGGGAATGCCACTCCCATAGCGCTGCAGCCCCCAATAATAAACGTGGGGGCTGCAGATAGGATGTGGGGCTGGTGGAGACAGAGAGGTGCTGGCAGTCAGGATCGCAGGGTCTGGATCTGACTCCCCAAAGATTTGTCTGTTTTTATCTTAGGAAAGGGACGTAAATCCCCTCAAGCTTAACAGCATAATTATATATAATTTAATTATTAAAGTATAATTATATGAAATTATTATACTATTACAGAATATATATAATATACAATAATATAATATATAATTTATATATTTTTTGGAGGTGAAATTTCACTCTTGTCCCCCAGGCTGGAGTGCAATGACACAATCTTGGCTCACTGCAACCTCCGTCTCCCAGGTTCAAGCAATTCTCCTGCCCCAGCCTCCTGAGTAGCTGAGATTACAGGTGTGTACCACCATGCCTGGCTAATTTTTGAATTTCTAGTATGGACAGGGTTTCACCATGTTGGCCAGGCTGGTCTCAAACTCCTGACCTCAGATGATCCACCTACCTCGGCCTCCCAAAATGCCGGAGTACAGGCGTGAACCACTGCACATGGCCATAATATAATAACTGTATATGCTGTACAATATAATCTTATTAGCAAGGAGTTTTTACTAACATCAAAAAGAACATTCTCTCAGGACACTTTAGACAGTACTGGGCAAGGCCGAATGCCCATACCCCCAGCACTTTGAGAGGCCAAGGCTAGAGGATTGCTTGAGGCCAGGAGTCTGTGACCAGCCTGGGCAACATAGTGAGACCCCATGTCTACAAAGAAAATTTTTTGTCTAATAAGCTGCTTACCTGTAATCCTAGCTACTGGGAGGCTGAGATGGGAGGATGGCTTAAGCCCAGGAGGCCAAGGTTACAGTGAGCTGTTATTACACCAGTGCACTCCAGCCTGGGCAACAGAGCAAGAATCTATCTCAAACAAAAAAGTACTGAGCAAAATAAGAGAAGCTTGTAGGCTTTAGGGATACACAGACCTGGGTTTGTATTTTGTTTCGGTCATCTGTTTAGTGAGTTTGGATAAATTATTTAACCTCTCGCACTGTTTTCTCTCTGAAAAATGGGAAGAGTAAGGTAAACTTTGCAGACCATTGTAGGGATTAAAAATCAACAGGTGTAATGTTTCTATTATGCAAGTTGAGTAAGTGCTAAAGATCTGCTGTACAAGACTGTGCTTGTAGTTCATAATACTGTCATGTGTAAGCACTTTAAAATCTATTAAGAGGCCAGGTGTCTCCACCTGGCCAACGTGTTGAAACCCCACCTCTGCTAAAAGTACAAAAATTAGCTGGGCATGGTGGCATTTGCCTGTAATCCTAGTTACTTGGGAGGCTGAGGCACAAGAATCACTTGAACCCGGGAGGTGGAGGTTGCAGTGAGCCAAGACCGCGCCATTGCACCGGGTGACAGAGGGAGACTCTGAGTCTGGGGGAAGAAAAAGGCGGGGGCCAGGTGTGGTGCTTCATGCCTATAATCCCAATACTTTGGGAGACCAAGGTGGGAGGACTGCTTGAGCCCAGGAGTTGGAGACCAGCCTGGGCAATATAGTGAGACCCCATTACAAAAAAAATAAAAATTAAAAAATTAGCCAGGCACGGTGGTGTGTATCTGTAGTCCCGGCTACAGGGGAGATTGAGGTGGGAGGATCACTTGGGCCTGGGAGGTCAAGGCTGCAGTGAACTGTGATCACACCACTATGCTCCAGACATGACAGCAAGTTAGACACTGTCTCAAAAAATAATGAATTAAAATAATAAATAAGGCCAGGCACAGTGGCTCACACCTGTAATCCCAGAACTTTGGGAGGCTGAGGCGTGCAGATCATTTGAGGTCAGGAGTTCGAGACCAACCTGGCCAACATAGCGAAACCCTATCTCCACTAAAAATATAAAAATCAGCTGGGTGTGGTGATGTGCGCCTGCGATTCAGCTACCTGGGAGGCTGAGGCAGGAGAATTGCTTGAAGCTGGGAGAGGGAGGTTGCAGTGAACCGAGACCACGCCACTGCACTCTAGCCTGGCAACAGAATGAGACTCTGTCTCAAATAATAATAAATAAATAAATGTATATATTAAGAGGGTAAATCTCACGTTAAGAGTTCTTACACAAAAAAAGACTTTTTAAATAATATGTGTAAAACAGATGTCTGACACACCAGAGGACTTGGTGAAACAGCAGTTATTATTGTTAAAAGTGGAAAAACTGGATATAAAAATCACCTGTTTTTTTTTTTTTTTTTGGTTTCACTTATCTTTCATGAGAGCAATGCCAAGTTTAGCAAATAATTCTGATTTTGCAAGGATTTTTTGTTGTGACCTGAGATCAGAGAACTGTTTCAGATTTTGCAAGTGGCTGGTTTGGCTGTAGATCAGATGGAACTACGCTTCTCAAATGACAGTTTCCTTCTCCTGACTGTTGATTCCTGAAGCTCAGCTCCTGGGGGGCACTTCCTCCTGGGACTTTGCCCTTTAGGAAGCTGGACCCAGTAAAGTATGGATTTGTAGCTCAGCACCCCTGAGCATTTGTTAAACTGAATCGCTCAAGTTCAGACAAAGAAGTGGTTTATTTTTTCCTTTGTGAGTTTAGGGTTTGCGTGGTTGATGTTTTTACATTTTTAAAAATTTTTCCCCTAATATTTTATTAGAAAAATTTTCTCTCTTTCCTTTAATTTTTAATTTCTATGGGCACATAGTAGGTACATATATTTATGGGTTACATGAGTTTTTTTGTTTTGTTTTTTGAGACAGATTCTTACGCTGGGCCAGGGCTGGAGTGTAATGGCACGATCTTGGCTCACTGCAACCTCCGCCTCCCCAGTTCACGCGATTCTCCTGCCTTAGCTTCCTGAGTAACTGGGATTACAGGTGCACACCACCACACCTGGATAATTTTTTGTATTTTTAGTAGAGATGGGGTTTCACAATGTTGGCCAGACTGTCTCGAACTTCTGACCTCGTGATCTGCCTGCCTTGGTCTCCAAAAGTGCTGGGATTATAGGCATGAGCCACCGCGCCTGGTCCAACATGGGATATGTTGATGCAGACATGCAATGTGTAATAATCACATCAGCGTAAAAGGGGCATCCATCCCCTCAAGCATTTATCCTTTGTGTTATGAACAATCGAATTATGCTCTTTTAGGTATTTTTAAATGTAGATTTAAATTATTATTGACTAGAATCACCCTGTGGTGCTAGTAAATACTAGGTTTTATTATTCTTTCTAACTGTATTTTATGTCCATCAGCCATCCCCTTTCCCCCCTCTCCTCCCTTTCCCAGTCTCTGGTAACCATTCCTTCTACTCTCTATGTCCATGTTTTGATTTTTAGATCCCACAAATAGGTGAAAACATATGAAGTTTGTCTTTCTGT